TCACCTCCAGGTTGCCCGGCCCCGCAGCCATCGTTTCCACTATAACCACACTAACATATAAATAACACAAATACTTTAAATCGATCATTTATTCATGCATTAAAACGTGAATGAACTTAAGACTAAGTTATAGCTTACCTAAGAATGTTACAGGTTTTCCAACAGTCCCATGAGCGACATCTTTGACTCGTATCGCTGAGACGTCATATACCTGAAGCAATAAGTTCACATTGTAAAAGCTTTAAAATACATCGTAATTCTTTGTAGTTGCTGTTAATTTAATACGTTTAACACACACACACACAAACAATTAGTTTTGATTTCTATGACGAGTAATTAACTTTTCACTTCATTTTATTTATAAATTTATTTTTTTGTTCTTGTCGGGGAAGATGCGCTTGAGGTCCAGAGCAGACTGGAGAGATGGCGGGATAAACTGGAGACAGCCGGACTGAAGATAAGCAGAGCAAAAACGGAGCAGTTATTCTGCGACTTCGGTGACTTATCCAGTTTTATCCAGATTGCCTTAGATGGCGCTTATCTCCTAGTTTGCGCCGACTTCCGGGACTTCGGCTCATTAATCCAAAGCGACGGCTACATTGACCGTGACGTGACAATGTGTGGAGTAACACGAATGGATAAGATACGAAATGAGTATATTAGAGAAAGTTTGAAAGTAGCCCCCGTAGTAGAGAAGGTAAAGAGTAAAAGATTAGCATGGTATGGGCATGTTATGAGGAGGGATGGATCGCATGTTACAAGGAGAACGTTAGTTATGAGTGTGGAAGGGTACATTGGTAGAAGTAGACCTAGAAAGAGATGGATGGTGTAAAAGGTGACATGATCAAAAAGGGAGTGATGACTGAGATGACGTATGATAGAGTTAATTGGAGGACAAAAACCTGTAGCGCCGACCCTACGGGAGTAGGATAAGGAGATGATGATGATGATGATAAAATTTTTATGTAACTTAAGCTTTTTGTTTTTTGGGTTGTCACTCTGATTGTCATATAGATTCTAAATTTAAAACACAACAAATGTTTACTTTATTTATTTAGTTGTATTTAGAACATACCTTTAAATGGAAAGGGCTGGCAGGTATAGGCACGGAGTCGACGAGCACATTGAGGCGGTGCTCGCCGACAGCGCGCGGCACGAACTCCGCGCGGAACGCGGCCGCGCCCGCCGCCGCCACCGCCGCCGGCACGGACGCGCCGTTCGGACCTGCGCCCGCACGCACACGCACGCTCAGCTCACCGCCACGCCCTAACATACCCCACCCCCCTCCCCAAACCCTACCATCTAACTAATAATACCCCCCATTTACCCCTTTACTATCAGTATCTATCATTTTCCAATCCCCTTTCTCTATCTTTATGATTGTTAGAAGTTAGGGCGAAGCGGATGAGCTTTATAAATAAAACATGTCCATGTTACATCAAAGTTATTACTTAAATTTATTTTACTAACTTGTTGGTACCCTTTTTATTCATCGTACAAAGTTACCTCATAATTTTTTTTTGTTTTTATCTTTATTCTTACCCTATGTTAGTAATGATTACAGTAATACATAATAGCGTGATATCAAGTTGCGTGCATTAAGAAAGAAAAAATCTATAGTTATATCTGGGTGGATGTTAGAATAGCAAAAGCATGTGAGTGGAAGAATACTAAAACTATATTCGTGACTCTATCGTTCGTTATAAACCATCCCCAACTACTTGTAACTTGACCACAGATTCCTTTATAGTGATTCAATTATATTAATTGCCCTTCATTTAAACCACCCTGTAAAGAAACAATACATTTCTAATATGTTTCATGAATGTTTTTAATACATTACTAAAGTATTGGTATTAATCTTATTAAAAATAAATTAAATCTATTCAAAATACCGAGCACAATAAAATCTAATTTCTGGATTATCTTTAGATACACCTAAATCTGGGCAAACAAGATATGCCTATGCTTATCTATACTAAGACATACCTTCAACATTAACTTCAATTTGGTCAAGCGTGGCAGTGGGGTGGTGCAGCGTGAGGGCTGCAGGCCTGTGTAGCGGCACGGGGCCAGGCAGAGTGACTCTCGCACCACCGCCGCCACCCTCCGCCACTGCTACTATCAGGGGACAGCCGGGGACTTTCATCTGTTTACAAATAAGATTTTATTCATTTACTACTAGATTTGCCTGCAACTCCGTCTGTGTGGAATTAAAAAAAAATAACAAAAGCAGGCAAGCAATGATTTCTACCAGACTATATGTGCCAAATTTCATCCAGACCCCTTCAGCTCTTTAGGCTACAAACTAATAAACCATCCATCCATCTAAACTTTCACATTTATAATATCACTAGTAAGAGAGTGAGATAGTAAGACAGTGGCTAAAACATGCAATTGGTTATCACATTAAAACAAAAGCAAACTTTTTTTTATGAAGTCTATCAATGTATTCAATTTAATTTAAATGTTTGTTAACAACAACTCAAATTATCAAATTTGTTTAATTATTGAATAAGGAATAGTACTAACCTTATTAAATGATACATTAACAATGTGTTCACATGCTTCAGTTGGTGTGAAGGAGACTGTAAACCTGGCATTGCCCTGTAAATAAAAGTACAATTGTAAAAATCAAACATTAAAGCTTACACACAAATATTGATTCCATTGTTATATATACCTGTGGATGGACTTGTGTCGGTATGTTTAACCCTCTTGCGGCTACTGTGATCTCCAAGTTTCCTTCTCCAGCTTGAGCAGCATCTACTGCGAGCTGCACAGGCACACCCACTCTTGCCGAAGCACCACCACTTACACTAACCAACTTTCCATCATATGCTTTGCAAACAAACGGTGTACCCTAAAAGAAATTGTTATAATTACCTAACTTTGTCTCCTTATGTCATACATATTACATTTGTCTTATAAACAACATCAATATTAGTCATTTATATTAAAGGTTAACTAAAATAAATTTCATAATGAATATGTTTCACAATGGATTAATAGACTGTACATTGTATACTAAAATAATTTAAATAAATAATAAAAACTTGCTTACAGGTACTGGCTGGTTGTTATAATGAGCAGTTAGAGTGTGAGGTCCGACGTTTTTCGGTGTAAAGCTAGCAACTAGCCCTGATGCCGCATCACCGGTGAGGCGCACAGGTACTTCTCCTCGGGGACCCCTGACGGTTACTGTCAGTTCCCCACCTCCTGAACCTTCCACTCGCACCGAACATGATGCTATCTCTCCAACTGGTATTAACTCTAGAAAATAAAAGGCAGCTGGTAAATAGAAGTATGATTACTTTCTAGGAAGGGAAAACATATAGAGTAAGCATTTTACATTACTTGTTTTGCGATTTGTTATTTTGTTAAGGAGAACATTATTCAGATATCACATTAGTATTAAAGTTTAGAATCGCGTGTAATATGTAAAAAGGAAAACAAATCAGAAAAACAAATTGTAAACAAAGTTTTGAAATATTGAATGTCAAAGAATTTCAATTGAATTCTCATATGTCATTGTCACTGTCAGTGTCACCTGTCCCATAGACTAGCATAGAGCAAAATACAAATACACAAAACATTAAAAAAATGCGCTTCATAAATAACTCTAGTTTTTTTTTTATAATAGAAAAATATGGACGTTTGCTTGTTTTACAATATTTTTACATAGAAGAAGCGTAATTACCAATTTGCGATGTGTCTATGGTGACTCTCTGTGCGGGGGCTACATCAAAGACGAACGGTGATAACGGAACTGGTTCCCCATTGAACTTGATGTCTACTCGATGAGGCGTAGGAGCTTCAGGTCTCCAGAAAACCAAACACCTTCCTCCGCCTACCACCTTGAAGATTTTATAAAGAATTATTTAAGAAAGCTTTTAACGCGAAAAACATGCAAAGTCTCTAGTCACCCTTAGTAAGTTATTTCTCATTTATTTCTATAAACCCGGCGCCAACCTACCGCATACATATGTTTTGTGCCATCTTTCGCCTAGGCAATACCTCTGAGGTGAAGTTGAAGGATGGTTCGCGCCCTTAAGCTTTTGAGATACAATTGGTACCAGGTTTGTAGTTTTGCTATGATCTTAAACTAAGTATTCGTTATAAAAACTCATGTATAAAAAGGCGCAATGCCTTGTCATAAAGCAGTGAGAGAAAAAAAACCTTCCAGTGTTTTTAACGTCTATTTCTAGTGTATATTCCCGTGCAAAGTTTAATTTCATTAAGTTCTAAGCTTACTTGTACGTGATTGGGGACTTCACCCTCATTTATTGAAATTTCTAATTGCCCCTCACCGGCAGCGCTCGCGTCCACTGAAAGGAAAACAAAGCTTAATTTAATTAAATATTGAAACATTTGCTAGCAATTGTTTTAGGTCAGTTATTAAAACGAAAAGTATCGAAAATTCGACACACGTGAAAGTAATAAGAATTTTAAAACAGACATTTAAAAAGGCCTTTATGAACAAAATACGATCATAAAAGTCGTTTTATTAGTAACGCGATCAGATATCAAAATGCGCTAAAATAATTACCTAAAATTTCTTTGTGAAAGTTTATTAAAATTGTTAGCACTACCTTGCTTATCGAATTCAACAACTATTTGTAATGGTATAATTTAAACTGAGAGCTTCGGGTCGAGTTGCAGAGGAAGTCTGGTTCAGAGCGCCGCATCTAATTCGGTCTGTATATTCACAGAGTTTATACGAAGCGAGTTAGCTGCACAACTTCCCCAATTTTACTTAGGTGAAACAGGAGCGGGTCAATTGGACAAGTTTTCCTTTAATGCTGTTCAACATTTGGACAAGTTTACCTCTGAACTGGCACTGTTGTCCGACAACTGCGTTGCCGACGTCTGTTACTTTGATAAGACTCGAGTCGTACACTTTGGCCACCAGAGGACCGGCCGCTAACTTATCCTCAGCAATTGAAACCTGGAAATACATCGACATAAACAACATCAAGTTATAAAATATTAAAGTAACCTAAATTTGACAATTAAAAATACTTTTCTGCGTTAAACAGTGAGTCTGATACTAACGATTCTTTAATATTTCTTTCTCCATTAGAAAACATTTTATCAGAAATTGATGAAGCATTTTTATTAGTATTGAAATCGATTTGGGCGATGCTTTAACCTTTAATAAGATTTACAACTAACAATACTGTTAAAGTATGCGATACTTATGGTGTATTTGATGCAAGTATAACTTTTATTATTTTATTCGTGACATAATAAGAATTTATAGTTATCAAAAACTCACAGTTTGCTATAGTTTTCGTATCGTATTTTAATTTAACATTGCGAGAGAAAGGTAAATATAATTTAATTAGATAAATTCGCACCTCTTATGTGAATAAAATTTCGTCTAGAAAGTTCGTTCGTATCACGACGACTTTCGAGTGCGTGAGTTTGAGTCTGCGAATAAATTCATTATTCGTAACATGTACGAGTGAAGGGACAGGTTGTGGTGTAGACGAACTTCAACCTTGCTTTAGCATGTACTCTTTACTGCATTCGCTATGTTAGGTTACATTATACTTGTAGAATCTACGATGGGTTATTCTCAATAAGAATCGAGGTCTAAGAAGTCTGAAATAGCTTTAACGAAAAAACTATTTTCAAACTTCAGAGGACAAGATACTATTAAGATTCAAAAAAGATTGCATCAACTCACATAATTCAGTCACGCACAGTTCAGTCGCATATTGAGTAATTTACATGACTGACTTTGATTTTTAAAGATTAAGGTCGAGCATCCGTCATTCGATATTCACAGTTTTCGCTTAGTCTTTGACTAGGGGTGGCATGCTTGGTTCATTTAATTTAATAATGTATGCAACGAAAAGTAGATTTGTAATTAAAATTATAGTGATGTAACTATTAATCATGGAATGAGTAGCTACACTTGCACACTATATTGCGATATTCATGCTATATTTTTCTGTAATTGTCGACAACCCTGAAAACCTAATGTCATTGTACATGACATTACCGTGCTTTAGATTTTACGATTCCCTATTGGATAATAATTTAATACTCTGTATGGAATGGTGAAGGTAATTTCGGTTCGCATTGTTATTAATTAAATTTATTCGCAATGATAAAAGCGGAACTACCATTTGTAGCGGGCTAGTTTATTGCTATAGATACTGTTTGAAATTTATATTCTTCTTGTAAAAATTACCATATTCTATGTTTGTTCGTGAAAACACAGGCATTGAGAGTAAATTAGATGTTAGAATCGCATGATAAGTTTGTGGTGAATGGTAAACAAATTGTTTATTATAAAAATTGATACTAAAATCAAGAATATTGGTTTAATAATCAATTTATAGAAATTTAGCTTTGCCAAAATTAGTAACTAATCAACCTTGTTAGATTTAGCAAGAGTTCTATTTAGCTTTAGTATATTCCTATAGGAATGAATATACTGTCTAGTTTAATCCTGAACTCTTCAGGCGTAAAACAGTAATTAAAAATAATAATAAATAACTTACGTCAATGAGGTGTGTGCCGACCTCTTCAGGTGTGAACTCAATGCGGTAGACGCCCGGCCGCTCGGCTACGTCCAGCACGCGCGCTGACACCGGCCGCCGTGACGGCGCGGTCACCGTCACACCGACCTTGGAATAAACATATAAAATATTAGTATTTGTTCAGTTTTACAACGGATAGTGTTATTTTGGGTTGAAAAAAAAATGTCTAACGATTTAGTGAAAACAAAACCAGTAGAAAATGTACTGAACAATTTCAAACGTCTAATCATTTTCTTTTGATTTTGTTAAGTGCAGATATCATGTAGCATTAATCAG